GAGAGAACAGGCTCCAGAGGTAAGAAATTTCCACTTTTCCCGGCGTCTTGCATCCTCCAAGGCTTAGTCCTGCAGGGTACCCCCGTATCCTGCGATAGTGCCGAAATAAGCACTGTGACGGTCCCAGTTCCGTTGTCTACTTTGTACCACGGTCCGGTGCAAGCTGCGGTCCCATTCGGTCCACGAGGACGCTGATACCGTCCGAAATGATCGTCAGCCCTGGGTTGTCCACGTGAATGCGCGTCGGAACGTTGGTAGTTTCATGTGTTCGTTTGATGTGAACAAGATAGAAAACAACCTCTAGGGACCTCACGTGAGCGTAGTTCCTCGAACCCTTTTGGGAGCAGTTTACGGGGTAGGCCCCTGCACTCCTGTTTCTCGTCGTGTTGACACCAATGCACTCGCACTGACCTCATCGTTGAAACGCCGTAATCAACTCATGCCGTTGTCAACAACTCGGGAATCGTCCGCCACCAAAATGCTCACATCTATTTGTTCAGAAGGCGCCGCTTTTTCGGGCTCTTGCAAGCTCTCCTCGTTTAAGCATCAACAAACGCCTAATGGCTCCATGAATAAAAAAACCGGATTAGGTCCCCGAAATGGAAGCGGCTTTAAGGAGACCGGTCCCGAGCGGTGTTCTCTATGGAATGGCCTCGTCCTTTTGACGAAAAACCGCCGCCGCAGGCTAGAGTGGCGTGAGAGAGCGAGTAAAAATCATAGGCACACACCAATTCTCTCTCTCCCCCCCCCTCCCCGTCGTTCACATAAAGTGCAGCACGGGGAGAAACGTCGATAGACGGCCAGCGACGCACAGGAATCAATAAGACAACAGACCGATGAAAAATGGGAACCGAAACGCTCTAACATTTGCCAAACACGGGAGTGGGCCACTTCCGGGTTGGATAAGCGACTTGCAGGGTTTAGGCAATGTTGAACTCACATCGCGAGCATCAACAACTCAAAACTGGTTCCTAACTACAGAAAAGCGCAGCGCGAGATATCCCTCTTTATCAATGTCGAAGAAATGCTGACTGGGATGAGACCCGCTCGTTACACAATCGGGATGTTATTGATAGCATATGCAGCTGAACAAAGGACAGTATGTTATGGTATATTTGCCATGCCCTTAAAATTGACTGCTGGGCAAAGTGTGATTCTGCCCCCAAAAACGAGTAAACCAATGGAAACCTCAACAATGCGTCAGAAGCGAAACGAAGTCCTGCTGACGAATAATGAATAGTAAAGACGAGCGAGAGTGCAAACAAAACCAACTACAAAAAGAGCATCAACCCACTTCATTCCAAGTAGATGCACTCGAAGAAAGGTAATAGTAGAAACACCCGCTCTATATTGAAAACGGGCAATGGTCTGGCCTAGTCTCACCAGAGTTTCCGACACTTCGTACTAAAACGAACCCATCCAATCAAATCCCATATTCCTTATAGTGCATATCTCCATTCGCTATCCATTATTTCTTGTTTCCTGAACAACAAGAGTCCGGAGGGAAAAGAGAGGAATGGGGGGGGGGGAATTTTTCACTGAAATTGCAATTTCAAAAAATTCACATCTTTCCACAATAACCTTTTATCCCTGGCCCATACCAATTGACTTCTTTTTCCAAAATCCATGCATCTGATTCTGCCAATTACCAACCCGATTTCCCACAGCAAATATACGACCCTGCCCGAAATACGATTACTCGCAGCAGGAATCGCGCTTTCACCAAAGACCGGGTTCGTGACAAGACAGCAATCTAGGGGACTATCCCAGAGTAGGGGGGCATCAATGCGCGGTTTCCAGAAACTAGTCGTAACTCCGAGCCAGAAGATGTAGCCACCTAACGGAAGATGGGCGGGAGCAGAGTCACCCTGCTGTGGCATTTCAAAAACGGCACGTTGCGCCATTCCCGCTATTAGACACGTTTCTCTCCGAAAACCACGAACATTCACACTCGCATCTTCGAGCCTGCTGTTCCCGCCATACAGCGTGCGTGAGGATCTCTCAACGTGCGTGCGAACTGACGCAACGCACGATTGACTGGGGGTGGGGGGTGGAGCGACATTCACTTGACATGCGTGAAAGCTTGAATTTTGAGTTCAACACTAGTTCGCCGCAGAACTGCATCGTGATGCCCCTTCTAATTGGAATACGCACCCCGTATCTATGTTAGGTTTTGTGACGTTCTCTTTCAAAACGTAATAAAGAGCGTCGGCTGCAGCCTCAAAGTAAATAATGGTCTAGGTTCATAGGATAGCTGAATTTTTTGATAAATAGTAATTTTTTTGTGTTCGATAGAATCCAACGCCACCAGGGGGATCTAATTTTCACTGGCAAAGACATTACTTTTTGGAGGCCGTCGTCATGTGTTGGGGGCCTGTGCTCTGAACCCGACGCTTTCTCCCGTTTTTGAAAGTATCACAACCTTCTTGTGATATATCTCTAGAGTTTAGGATCAAGAACGCTTGCTAAATTACAGGGGGACACCGGCCGCGCGGTCTTTTGCTTGCCTCCTCCGTGAGCTTATCCAAGCGGGTTACTATTTCCGCGTCACGTGGCAGTTTGAATACGCACCATCGGTTACTAGTTGTATGACTTCTAATCCCTTTTCGTGCAGCGGAGAACCTGAGATGTAAATAAGAAATGCGTAGCGAGGGCGCATGGGCAATTCAGAGGGTGGTTCGGGCATTAACCTGCGGCAAAACTTTGGGCCTTAGTGTCTAGTGTCTGACCTTGTGAAGGAGACGCAGAGGAGCAAAAGGATTAAATGTCACAACACCGGGACTAACGTAAGCCTTTGCGGGAACACACGGACAAAGCACCGCGCCAGCCGCATGGTCCCTCCCCCCCCCCAACTAAGTTAGCACCCAAGCAACTTATCGACATCGCTTCTCCACTACCATTGCCTGGAACTTCCTACCGACTCAGTGGCATGCCATGTGAATGTTCAGTTACTTTTGGCCCTCTTTGGATGTTGGAGCCATTTTTGGCATCGCTTCTCTCCCACACAACTACAAATGTCCAGACGTCCAGTGCAGTATTACAATTTGATATTTTCTTTCATTTGTACCTTTCGAAGACCGATTTCACCCTCACATCCCATGTGATGTACTAAATAAGTAAATAAATAAATCTGCAAGAGTTCCTCGCAAATCGCACGTACTACGACCCTCCGCCAGCTGACTCCACACACCTGTGCCTATGCGCCTTTCCACACACACACACCTACCGCTGCATTCTGCTTGCCACCAATGTGACAATTTCTTTCCAATTGTGTTCGTTCAGCTGCCTCACTTATTTCAAGCTCAGTCATGCGAACGCGTGCGTCCTATGCGTTATCTATTTTTAGATAACTTATCAGAACGTACACACCCGTAAAGCTTCGCCCGAAAGGGCAACACGATCAACGAACTGCTTTATGAGCAGGCACGTCATCGATAAGCCTTTTTCACTGGCGAAATCATTTCCATGTGCTGTTCACAGAAACCCTTGTGTGTTTGTGTGGCGGTAGACGGCTAGACATAGGCGTACGTATTAGAATCGTCTCATCCAGTTGAACACCACGTGCTACGTCTGTTCGCGTGTCACGATCAACTTCCGTTCCCCAGGCAACAGTAGCTGTTAGCCTTTCCGAGGATAAGCCGCCACAGCCGTCACGGCCCCGAACCACGTAGCCATTCCAAGAAGCGCGCTACGTAGCACACAACAATTATCGACCAGTCACATTACCGCCGCCTTTAATATGCCATCGTTGCGTTGCAAAAAGTAGTTTGCCAAAAACAACGCTCATCTGAGAGCCCAATTAGCACGCAGGTCGGACACCCGCTGCAAAAGTCCGTAACAAAATTCACCCACATATGTAGAGAGATATCGATGAGGGATTGAGCACTCAGCCTTCAGTAACCTACTCGAGGCTACGCCGCGCACTCCTCACACGCTCAAAACAGTTGGAGCGATTCATTGGAGGACTTCGCGGTGCCTTACAATTCATGGTCTTGTAGTCGACGGTCAATGAAACCTCCCCACCTAATGTGGGCGTGTGAAGAGCTGCCATGCGTCTAGCTCGGAGTATGTGTTTTAGAACTGAGGATGAGTGCTCTATCCAACAGACACATCTGGCAGCAACATTAAGTTAGGAGTTGTCGCTGAGCGTATTCGATCCAACGGCCCATGCTCTGATACTTTTACGCCGCCTGCTAAGTTGCAGCTCCTAGTGCATACAAAAAAAAACACAAAGCTTATATAAATTTATATCTCTGAGCATGTAGGCTTCAAGCCTGGTGAGGAATAGAGACAAACATTCAATTCAGGAAAGGAACTAACGCTTCACCGATGGTACAAATTTGAACACGAGAGAGTTGAGAGAGCACGAGAAGAGTTAATGAACATTATAGCAATATGAAAGTTCTTTTAAACAAAAATTCACATTAATACAGACGAGTTAGAAAGCCGCGAGTGGGGTAAATTGGGATTTGATGATTGAAAAGTATTGGTAGTGAAATTACAAGGTCATTGGTGTGATGCGAGCGAGTAAGAAGTGGAATGAATGAATAAATGAAAAAAGGTGAACAAAATAAACAGACATACATCCATAATAATATATACCTGTGTTGTCAAATAAAGGGAAACAAGGAAATCATCACGCTCACAAAAAGAAATAATAATGAAAAAAAAACAAATGATAATTATAGACACACGATGGCGTGAAAACGCTACAAACCGGAAGGAACCGTAGAAAAACGAGACGCACACAAGTGGCTACAGAAACACTATCTACACACTCTTCTCTTTAGGAGACTCACTTAAACTCCCTAAATAAACGAATCTACTCGCTAGTTTGAAATAAAACACGATCACCGAACAGTCACATTTGCTTTTCTGTGTGGGGGTGTGCACGGATGGGTGAGTGCCACATGAACACGTTGCGAACTTCTAACTCTACATATAATTATATAATTAACAGCTTATCGCAACATGAAACATGTAAATACAAAGTAGTAAACCTATGATGTGAGTGGTCGTGAGGATTCATCAGGTGTTAGAACAACAAACAAAAATGATGCCTGGCGAGCTGTTATCGACTCATAAAGCTGAGGAGAATAGTACTGTAGGTAACTTGATGGAAATTCGCCCGGAGGAAACACGTGCACCAAGCATCCGGCGGTGGTAGCCTGAACAAAGCGAAATCAATTAGGAAGCGAAATCATCCGAGTTCCTAGTTTGGCGGCGACGTAAATATGTATCAACGGACTTACCGTCTGGGGCATAACGGCTATGCCTGCAGCTTGCTTGCTTGTGAAGTAGTCAATGAAAGCCGTTCGGAATATATCCGAATTGGTGATGATTTCATCCCGAGAAAGACCACAGGGCAAACAGATCATACACGCGAAACGACCCGCATCCGACATCTTTGCAACCATACCTGCAACTGAAACTTCAGTTCGATTTGAGTTAGCCTCCTAACCGAGCCGTACCGATGCTTCCTTTTTCCCCGTAGATCATATTCATTCTCACAATTCCGTTCAGTCATCGCATGCTTACGCACACGAAACAAGTGATTATTATCTCGTCGCTGTGACAACGCTGCTTACATGCGCCTCAGCCACTTCGTCAACACAAACACACTGCTGCAGCAATTCTGCACACTCTTATCACTAAAGCAACGGAAGCCTCAGAACAACTTTCGCAATACTAGCTAGCTGACGGTCTATTCAGAAAACAACGAAGGGGGGTATGGCCGCGGAGAAAGTGCATCAAAACATGTCCTAAAAGCCATGAAAACAAGATGAAGCAGTACCGTAAGCCACAGCACTCTGAGGATTACATCCATCTGCCCACAAATGTCCACTTTAATCAAAAATCCCGTAGCCAGTAATAATCACTCATTGTGATAATTTTATGACGTTTTCAATAAATATAATTGAGGCCAAGTGCTTGCAGCTGTTGGGAGAGTGCTACTTTTTCTAATCGACACGTCATCACAAATATCACAACGTTTACGAGAAGATTCCCAAACAACTACAGTACTCAGTTGAGTGCTCTCACACCGCGCTTTCTACAGTATTTGCCCTATTCAGCCAAAACAAACACCCACAAGTCTTTTTAAACACCTAGTACAAGTAACAATCATCTAATTCTTTGTATGGAACCCCTTTCTGATTGTTTCATGGCAAGCGATCTCGATCGAGAAGTAGGCTCTTGCTGATTCAAGGCGAGCTTTACCCAATGTGGGGTCGGTGCAGCCACGCAACCGCGACATCGATCACACGGCCGGACACTCACACTCGACAGCAGTCACCCAGGCAGCCAGCGCGCTTAATTTCCTACGACATATCGCATCGCACAAACACAAAGGCACTATAAGGCTAGAAGCAGGCAAGGACGTGACATGGGAAAGTGATAAACGGCACTTCTCAATTAACTAACCTTGAACTTGGGCATGTTCAAGTCGCATTCGTTGATTGACACGAATTGGTACGGCGTTCTTCGCATCAGCATTGGCGTCACCGAGACATCGAGTAAGCATCTCTATCGATCCATACACCAGATGCATCTGCACCGTTGTCTCGGACTGCTTCATTGCCAACGTACCCTGCCATACCACCGGGAAACGCTGCAAAACATAAATAAAGATCATATCATAATAACTGACAGCGGGACTGGGACTGTTCGTTGATCGCAAACTACTTCCTATTATCGCTCTTGCGCACTTTTTTCGGTCGCTGTGAAAACAATGAAGGCAGACAACGCACAGAAAACTTGGTGAAAGGACATTTTTGGTAGCACTTCATTACAGTAAATACGTGAAGTACCGTACGCTCCATCAACGAAAATGATTTTTTATATGCTATTTGTAACAAAACTGCACCTTCAGTTGTTCGTCATATGTCAGAGCACCATCACTGTCCAAATTCTCCGGATCTTCATCACGATGGGAAATCGCTAGATTACGCAGAGAAGTTACAAGTTCTTGAGTAAGAGGAGCAACATCGGGTTCAGAATATCGTGGAGAGCTTCCATCCGGTGACAGCGAAGTTTCCCAAACCAGTGCGCTATCGGTCAGCATGCTGATTTCACGTGAACAAGAGTCAGCAGTGTTGGAACGGCTGCTCACTTTTCGGAATGCCGATCCCAACGATGCAATTCCACCTTCTTTGTCTAACGGACGATTAGCAATTATCTCGAGAATTTCATCTATGCACAACTTTCTTTCGAAAGGTGAGCTGGTTCCACTGCTACTGCTGCATCCTGTCCCTTTGCTGCTACCAACTGGCGAGGACACTGGGGTCACAGGCTTCCGCTCGGGCTTCAAGTCATGGTCGTAAATGTTGTAGATCTCCTCGTTAAGAATCCTATTCAGACAACGCTCCATATCGTCCTTGGATACCGACATACGAGGAACCATTACATGTTCAGTCTTGCGCTGCTTTGCGAGAGCGATACTGTCCGAATGAACGCGTTTTCTCAATTCCTCAACTTGATTGGGAACATCACTGCTGGGAAACGATCGTTTACGGTCACTCTGATGTCCGGTTCCATTTTCGGCTGTTCGCTTCAACGACATATGCAAAGCAGCCAATTGCGGATTAACACCTGGAATTTGCCCTCGAGCCAATGCTGCGTACTGCTGAAGAAGCATCGCTTGCTGTAGATTAGCCACAGTCAACGCAGTTGTCTCAGGTTGTGAAGCGACCAATGACAGAAGCTCAGAGGTCGACGTCGAAGCAGATGGTCGATCTGCGCCAGCAGCGGCAGCATTCGCAAGGTTCATACTCAACATCACCTTTGCTGCATTCGCAAGAAGTGGATTTTGCGCAGCTAGCTGAGCAGGGAAACCGCCAGCACCAGTATTTTGTTGATTGATTGCCAACAAACTATTCATCGCAATCGCACCAGCCAGATTGAGTATGTTCAGCGTATGGTCACCAACGCCTTGAGAATCACCAGACAAAGCATTCCCCGACGGATTCATGGCTTCAACTTCGGGAGATGAGAGACCAAACGACGAGAGATGCTGGGGTTCGGTCGCTTTTCGACTTCGCTTAACACCAATCTCAGTGGCTCGAAGCGGCGAACTGTTAGAGCTCATTCAATATCTTTACCGATGACGTGCGCAGTGGAGAGATGAAACGATGTAGACAACACAGTAATAGACTGTAGAAGACTAGAACAGCTAGCTTGCTCCGAATACTCGTAAACACACAAAATTCGACAGGATCAATAATAGCGGTTACGTTGAAGTGTAACACCGGGCAACCGAAAGATGGTCGATAGTGAATACAAAAAGAAGAATGAAGAGACCCTGACGAAATAAGCTCCTAGACGAGTTCCTGACACGTGTTGCCGATCTGTTGAGATCGGAGATGAGGTAGGTAAGGAGGTAGATCGAGTGAGGTAGCTTGACCAACAGGCGAACAACTTGTGATCACTTTGAACGGATCATTCTTGTCTGGTGAACGCCATCAGGTTTGAGGTAGGAGGAGGTATATCGAACTTGTCGAGGAAAAAGCCGCTGCACACACTCACACACCACAGCACGGCGTTCTTTCCAGCGGGCAAATAATTCACCGATAGTACGCGAGAGAGCGAGAGGTAGTCAGAGAGCGACAAGGCTCTGCGTCCCTGCTCCGCCCCAAAAGCGCCACATGCAGAGACTCGTGCGAAACTGAAGCGCAGTGACATGAGTGTGTAGTGAGCCGGCCAGCTGAGTAGAACACGGGCCGCAGAGACCACAAGTCACAGTGGGCGCTGTTGAGACGAGAGACACATCGCGCTGCGAATTAGATCTAACAGGGGCGCGCGCACGCATTGCGGCACTTATTATGCCCTCAAAGCACGTCGAGCAACACGCGCAACGCGGGCGGCAGGCAGCCAGCCCGTCCAGGAGAGGCCTTGACGGCGAAGCGCTGCAGTCACCGAACGCCGTTCGTGCCAGCCTACGTCGAGCACGGCCGTTGCCGACGAAAGTTTCATCCGAGTTTGTCATGAACGATCGTAAACAGACCAAACCATAGCTACCCAAACAACACAGTAAAAAGCTTTGGGAATAGTGGTATAGAATGTCATGCACTCACCTTCGCAACATCAGCGGAATGCTGAGACGATGTGCCAGAAGGAGACGCTACGGCTGCCGCTAATGGCGCTGAGACTGAACTTTCGATAGTACGAGGCTGCGGGGGTACCGAGACGTTCTTCCGCTCCTGTTGAACAATGGAAATGTTCCCTTGCGAGGATGCGGTCGATATCGGCGTTTGAGGGACCGCCGGGGACGTCTTGAAAATCATATTTTATGACAGATTCACGAACAAGAGCATATTAACCTCCCTTACTTGGACTACATTCTGCTGCTGCTGTGTTGTTGTTGATGTTGATGTTGTTGCTGCTGCTGGTGCTGTTGGTGTTGAGCTTGCTGTTGCTGTTGCTGTTGTTGTTGCTGCTGTTGCAGAAGCTGCTGCTGAGAAAGGCGATATTGGGCAGCGTAGAGTGCTGCTGCTTGTTGTTGTTGCTGTTGCGTGACCTGCTGCTGCGCTTGCTGCTGAAGAGCTTCACGTTCGCGCAATGCCCGCAACTGGGTCTCCTTTAGCAGGCGTTCCCTTTCGAGTTGCTGTGACGGCTGTGGAGACGATGCGGCTGTGGTCGAAGCCTCTTGCTGTGCCTGAAAAATATGATTGAACATAGAATTTTCGAACTCGCTTCACCGTGAGGACTGTTGCAACTCAAACAAACCTTAATCTGTTGCTGCCTTTGCAGTTCCAAAAGGTATTGCTGCGCCTGAGAAGTTGGCAGTTGCTGGATAGCTTGCAACTGAGCCAACAGAGCTGTCGCCATCGGTTGACCAAAGGTTTGCGACACTAAATGATTAAGATGTGAAGTGAATCAGAGAGAAAAGACAAACAAAAAGCTTACTTTGCTGATAGTATGCCACTGGATCCCTGGAGGCCATTTGAAGCATTTGCATCTGCTGCAGTTGCATTTGCAAAGTGGCCTGAGCAGCTAAGGCAGCATGCTGGTGTTGGTTAACAGGTGCAGCTCCTTGGGGAGCAGGAGATGGTGTTGCAGCTGGTGTTTGTGGTTTGACAGCACGTGAAGCGTCCTTTCTGCTGCTGTTGTTGTTGCTGCTGCTGAAGGAGTTGCTGCTGCAATTGCTGATGCAATTCTCTTTCACGTTGTTCACGTTGCTGTTGTTGCTGCTGTTGTTGCTGCTGATGTAGTTCTCGTTCTTTCTGCAGAGCTGCCTCCCTTTCCCGTTCACGTTCACGCTGCTGTTGCAGTTCCAATTGCTGCTGAGCCAAAAGCTGTTGTTGCTGCTGTTGTTGTAACACCAATTGCTGCTGCGCGAACTGTTGTTGGAATAGTTGCTGCTGCGATAACGGGCGATGTTGAGCCTGGGCTTGAGCTTGTTGGTACAACTGTTGCTGCTGTTGCAACACATTAGCGTGTGTGAACGACGGTTGCTGGAATCGGTTATACAACTGATGCATGCCTGCTTGGGAGACTACAGGTGTGCCCTGAGTTATACCACCAGAAACTGGTGATGCAGCAGGCAATACAGATACGTATTCCGACGATGGAACAGGGGAAGCCTTGACCGAGTGCACAACCGGTGGTGGCACAAATGTTGCTTGTTCCGCACTGGTTACGGTTTTCGGCGATTGCATAGGCGTAGAAGCCTTTCGGGGCTCTGGAATCGCCACACTAATAGGCGCGGTCACGTTAGCGGTTACCGGTTGTGAGACAGAAGTGTATATGGGGTCTTGCTCCTTTACTGAACTGCTAGTAGTCGGGATCTCAACGATGTCGTCATCCTCAATCACGATGACGTTTGGTGCAGCATCAGCAGATGATCCTTCTTTGGCCGCATCAGACACCTCCGCATTCTTTTCAGCTGCAGGTTTCTCTTCCAAAATCGGCTCCTCCACAAACGATTCACGCAATAATTGCTCCTGGAAAAGAGAGAAGAATAGTTCATGGAAAAAGTAAATTGAAATAGAAATCCTTACATCCGAAACATCTCCTGAAGCGATGCCAGTAATTTCAGCTTCGTCGTCAACATCAGCAATAGCACTTGTTGCTCGATTTGTTTCCTCGTTGGTGACTGCGACGCTGGTAGATACTAGGACAGCTTCACCTGCAGTTGACAGACCTGCCGACGCAACCACCGCCCCATTCTTGCCAGGAACAAACACCAAAGTCGGATACTGTGGTTCCTCCTCTTCATCATCACCGTCGAAAATCGACTTCACTGCGTCTTCGGTTTCCTGAACATGGTATAAATAGCAAATACGCAATTGGAAAATAAGTAATGAAATAGAAGCAAAAAAGCTAGAAAAAAACTCTACGTGTGATTCTGCAAGCAACACAGCACACAAATCACACACTAAACCAGTGCTCTAAAGTACCTCAAAGCGGATCTGTCGCACCTGTAAATCGGAAATGCCTCGAGCGGTCTTCTTCGCTTCATCGTCGACTGATGGCTGCTCACAGGGTGTTGTTGTCGTTTCGGGAGCCGGAGGGGCTTGAACTGTTGTCTCAACTACATCATGCGGCGCTTCTTGTTGCTCACAACTTGAGGATTGTTCAGTGGTATCCTTCACACTATCGGTATAGCTCGTCGGAAGCGGTTCTTGCAGCGACGTCACTGTCAGAGACGTCTTCGTCGCCGAGCACTCGTCCGACGATGTAGTCGTTTCATCGACATTCGCAACAGGTGGTTCATGAACACTCGCATAACCGGCAGTGGCATCAACAAGTTCAACAGCACGATGACGAGACCGCTGTGAATCGGAGTCAGACTCACTGACTTCGTCCGGTTCAGTTGCGCCAGAGCTGCTGGTGCTCACTCGACGTACAGGTGGCAGAAAAGTAGTGGCAGTAGCATCATGTTGGGCAGAAGTTGGTGCTGACAGTGCGCTAGCGAAGACGTCATCGTAGTCGGTCGACTCGTCATCCGAATCCGCTTCGGTCGAAGGCTAAAGCACACCACAGCACATGACGACAACAACAGCACCACCAACAACAATATTCACAAACAAATGGCATTCCTTCAGAACTGGCGAGTTTAAACAAAGTGCTTTTCAAATTTCGAGTAAAGCATTTTGATACTACTCATCATTTCCAACTCGAATTCACATCATTTCAGAACGAGTTCGTTTTTGACTATATCAAACAGTGTTCACTAGCCAGCTCTCTCAGTGTATGAACCTATAAAGGTGGTAATAATTACCTGTGTAGCAGATACTGTTGACGTAGCAATGGTGGATTGACTTGGCACAAAAATCTTCATCGCAGCCTTCGTAAGAAGCTTTGGACGGGCTTGCTCTGTTGCCGTAGATGTAGGTTGTTGAGGAGGTTTGGGAGCTATTGAAGTTTCTGTTTCTGCTTCAGGGAGAGTGTGCTGAGCCTGAGCTTCCTACAAGAGCTTATATACGACAATTGCTGAACAACAGATCAAAAAATGACTCAATACCTTATTCTCCTCTTCAGGTTCTTGTTCCGTTTTCACTTGTTCTGTAACTTCCGTTTCCATCGGAACCTCTTCTGGTTTGACCTCTATTATCTCTTCTTTGATTGCAGGTTCCTCTACCTTCGCGCTAATAACAGAGCATTGGCTTTGCTCCTCTTCAACCTTAGGCATCACGCTCTGTATGTCCATCTCGGAAGCACTTGACTCATCCGACTGCTGACTTTTCTTGGTCCGTTTTGCTGGTTTTGACTCTGTAAATGCTCTGATAAACTTCGAAACTATTTTCAAGCAACCAAACTGGAAGCCTTGGGCGGTAAATTATCCCGCAAATCAGACGAACTCACCTTGAATGTCACCTTTACGCTTGGGCATCTCCTTCCTGTCTTTCTTCTTCAATTCCGCTTCCGCTCTTTGCTTTTCTTTTCGTTCCTTCTCATTTTTTCGCGATTTATCCGCCTTGTCTGGACCGAAAATGGACTCAAAATCTAATTTGTCAGATTTCGTGAGCTTTTTCTTCGGAGCCTCGTTCTCATCAGAAGAATCCTAAACGCAAAATTTGACGTATCTAGCTCAGTTTTTACGAAACAACCAAATTTCGTACCTTTCTGCTTTTCTTTCGTTTCTTCTCTTTCTCTTCAATAGACAACTTTTCATTATCTGTGCTATCTGCTCCAAAGACGTCTTCCATGTTGATGTTTTTCGCCTACAAAGCGCCAAACTTGATATCAAATCAAAGCTCATGCAAATCATCGATGTAATGCTATGCTCCTCTAAAAAACCTACAACGTGTTTGTGTTTCTCCGAAGTTTTCTTCGTTGGTCTTCTTTGCTGCTTGCGGTCTCCACCATCAGATTCTCCCGATTCATCGGTTGAGTAATCGCGTTTCTTTTTGACCTCCTTAACATGCTTGCTTCACTGTGATGAAACAGTGACGAGACAGCTTGCATTGATGAGAACCCATAACTAATGCTAAGAGATTTAAACAAGCACCTCATCCTCGCTACTGTTCCCGTTGGCACTTTTCCCAACGCGTACGGTTTCCTCCTCCTCTTCAGATGAGTCATCTGGTTCGGACTCGGCAGGTTTCCTTATTGGTCTAGGGCCTTCATCTTCCTCGTCAGAAGAGTCTAACTGTATGCGATGGCGCTAAAGAAAACAAATCATGGGTTGGGCCAAATGAAGCGCTAAAAATATAGCAACCTTTTGATTCTTCCGTTCGTTGTTCTTGTCTCGCAAACGCTGAAGCGCAGCAGTTTTCTTAGTGCCATCGTCTTTATTTGCAGCTGAGCTCCGCCTTTTCACTCGGTCGTACATAGAAAGTCCCCCACTGGCTCCAGCACAACTCGAGCCGCTATCTTCCGCGACAAGATGAGCCAACTGCTTACTGAAGGCCTTCTGAAAAAGAGAATTGCAGCATAACACCTAAAATCACGGAGGGGTAAAAAAATTAGCTAACCTGATAATCACTATCATCGCTCGAACTTCCATCATCTGATGAGCTCTGCCTTGATTTTTTCTTTTGCTTCTTGGATTTCTTCTCCCGTTGTCGCTCTTTCTCAGCCTTTTTCGTTTTCTGTCCTTCTTTTCTCTATCGTCTTCTCTTCCGCGTTTACGCTCCTCCTTGGCCTAAAAATGACATTTAAGCGATCACATAAAGCGCGATTTCAGTGATGCTGTCTTGATCAAGAATCTTACTCATCAAGGATCACTGCAAAAGAACTCAAGCAACTAACCTTCTTCTCTTTCTTCTGATCTTTCGTCTTCTCACGATCTTTCTTTGACCTTTCTGCTTCCTTCCGTTTTGCACGCTCTTCTTTGGTTTCAAATGAGCCATCATCTTTACGACGCTGAAAGGTATCTCTTTAACTTTGTTGATACTCATAGAGTTCAAAATTTCATACAAAACTAACCATTTTATGCTCCTTCTCCTTTTTGTGATGATCGAGGCTGCCTGAGTGCTTTTTGGATTGTTCATGGCTGTGATGTTCTCTTTCTGGATGCGCTGCCACAGCTGATGGCTTTTTCTCGATCTTCGGGAGCTTCCGGAAATCCGTCGTTGGGGGCTTATTATGAAACAGTTCTGCGAGTAGTTCAGTTGAAGGATCCTGTAAAAATGACCATATTGCCATAGAATTCAAGCGCAGCAAGAAGATTTATTTTGCAGATTAGCACCTTCCACAGAAAAACATCTGTTCTCACCTTGTGGGCAACCGTTGGTGTTCCTGATTTACGCGCATCCGAAACAGACAGCGACCGTCCAGTCAATGATGGAGCTGTTCCAGGTACTGGAGATTTCAGTGCAGACATTGAATCATGGCGTTGAGGAGTATGCTGAACAATGACATTTCATCAACTACAACGCACCTGTACCCGAAAGAACGCGCTGATAGATTAAAAAAATATGTAATTTAGAAGTCGCAAAATTCTGCTCACTTTCTCGCCTGCTCGCTGGGGCGGTTGCAGGATTTTATTGCCAAACGGTTTCGGAGTTGTTTGCGTCGTATGAGATGTTCCGTGATGTGGCTGAACTTGTACCGGAGGGTGAGATGAAGTATGAGAAGAACTGGCTGCACCATGTGTGGTGTGATGCGGCGTGGTAACTGAAGAGGTATGCGGCTGGGTTGAACCACCATGCGATGACCGCGGAGTTGTTGTTGTTCGTCGTAATACTTGGTTTAGAAGACGGGCCAATACCAGAAAGCGTTGTAGGACTCTTCAGTGAAAAAGCATCCCGATTTAACGTCGATTCCTACAAAAAAAAAGAACTACAATGTAAATGGTGCCAAGGAAAAATAATATAAAATGTACCTGTGTAGTTGGCAGAAGCTGAGGTGGAGGAGGTGGAGCAGAAAGGATAGGAGAAGTTTGCGATTCAGGTGTTGTAGACAACGCACAGACTGAAGACGAAGTTGCTGAGAAATTTGGCGGGGGAACTGAGAAGTTCGGAGGATAAGCTATGAGTGGAGCTGTTGGCGGTGCTGCAAGACGAACTGGTGGAGTCGACGAAGATGTTACATGTGCCGATGCCGGTGGTCGAGATGTTGATGCGCTACTGCATGGAGCTCCAGATTTTCGCGACGACTGAAAGAGGATCGTGAAACGGTCGCAAAATATAGAAGTCTCAAAATGAAGGATCCAAAAACGAACCAGAGGAGAATCAATTCGTGTTGATGCTGGAGTTGTAGCTGCGCTTTGTGAAGCACTTCCAGGCTGGGGAATAGTGATAGAAAGAGCAGGTCGATGTGACGCTGCATTCCTACTGAATCCGCTTGATGATAAACCGCTTCCCGATGAAATCACAGGGAATGGAGCAACACTCAGCGGATCAGGTGCAGAAGCCTGTAATATGTACGTGATGCTATGTATATTCCTTGCAGAAGTCGAGGAAATACTAAGGATTACCTTTGCAGCAAGTATTCGTTCCTGTGTGATGTTTAACGTGAAGTCGTCAAAAGATGACTTCTTCTTTTGATTTATACTCCGTAATCGCTCTTCAAATGAGTCTGTACGGTGTGTGGTCGAAGGAGCGCCCGACTGCCTGTGTCGAGAAGACGTCGGAGTTGTTTCGGTCGCTAGTGATGTGGTAGGATGACGATGATGTTGATCATCTAATTCGGCCACGCCTCGATGGGCTTCTTCCAATGACGCGTTAACATCGGTGAGACGAGATCCAATTTCAGCAAGGCGCTAAAAACAAAAAAATCGCGACTGCTTGATGAAAAATGAAGAACACCACAAAACAGCAAAAGAATCTATTTAGCTGACACATGTGGGTAAACAAAAAGGACGCGCACGTTCTTCTCAGTTGATAAATAGGTTTTCCATATCGCGGTGAACGCGCAAGACAAGATCTCAAAAAGTAAGTCCAAGTAAATACTAATCGAACTACTCAACCGCTTCGTCACTAATTCCTTTCTCTTTACCCACGTGCACATAGTGAAAATATTGTACCAACCCCACTCCATCCATCAGCTAAAATAGGCACGTCGTCTGGTTCGCAAAGGAGATCCAATGCAGAAGGCGGTGGTGGAGGAAGCGGAGCTGCATCCGGAGAAAGCTGGGCATCGCTATCCATGCCACCACTTCCACCACTGCTGCTTGGACTACGGGATACCGTAGCATGCGTATGCGCCGCCTGCGTTGCAGCAGGTGTATGCAAGTGAGAAGCTCGTTCTAAAAAAAGGTAGACAATATATAAGTTCATGGCAAACATTTCATGTTCGAAATTACCTTCAGACAAGGAACTGGCAAGAGGCCGACTGCAAGAAATGATTCCGGACCCGCCACTGGCTCGACGTTGTGAACCCGTATATCCGCCCTCAGTGCTAGCAGCGCTTCCAGATGATCGTTTTCGCCACTCTCCAGCCACTGAACGCGGATGACGATCCGCCGAACTAGCAAAAGGTGGAAGAGGCAAGTGCGATGATATCAATTTCGGAGACTCATTGAGTTGAATCCGTGGATCAGTCAAAGATGTTGTTGCCTGAAGAATTTACAAATGGTAATACTCGATATGGAAAGCCTTGAACGACAACGAAGTAAGCTAAACTCTCACTATGTCTGGGAAAACACATGGATTTCGAAGCAGATCGTTCCATGGCCATTTCCCTGTCCGTGTTCTATGTGATGGCTGCGAAGTAGAATGCGGGCGCAAGTGGGATCCCTGCCCATCTACCGAGTGACGCTTCTGAGAATGGCTGGAGCTGTTGAAGTTTGACGGTGTAGCCGTTGAAGGACCCGGCCCAGATGACAAGGATTGGTGTCGGTGTTGCACGGAAATCGACTGCAAAAAAGGACGAATACGGAAAAGTAACACACCCATTCAAAGCGTCATTGGAAAAATGACATTGTAGCAAAAAAAATCATATGCAAACCTGTGGTTCCTGTCCGAAATGATGAGATTGGTGACGGCTGGAATAGGAATCATGTCGAGAAGTAGAAGGAGGCGAGACGAAATGGGGAGTGCAATGCTGCGAGTGGGAATTTGATCGTGGAGACGGTTTCCGTCTAACTGGAGGATCAGCGGGAGGAGGTGAAGGTATTTGCGGTAATGTCTCCATTTGTGGTGGTGCAGGTGGAGGATCCAGTGGTGGCCGTGAAACGTCATCGTAGAACCTGTACAACCTTTTAAAACAAAATTAGGATTTCCAGTAAGTGATGCAAATTATGGAATTGCTAGTGATAAATAATTAATTTGGTTGTACTCACCCACTATCCCCACTTTTACGATCGTCGGGAGTTGGCGTTATGGTACCAATAGCCGCACTGACACTCGACGCCTGCATTGTTTGTGGTAACCTGTCGTCGGCAGCAGGTGAATGTCGTGTTGTTTTGCGATCTGTCCATTTCGAAACTTCAAATGGGCTACGTCGCGAAGAAGAGGTGTTTCGTGGTTTGCCTAAAAACGCTGCTGTTTAAATCATCAGAACAATAAGAACAACTTCCCAGCAGTTAAATTTTACATAAGATTCGGTGACGACAGGGCGTGCTCGCGCTAAGCGGGGACTAACAAATGCCTATCGGGAAGTGAGGCTGTTCCTCGAAAGCCGCGTTCATAGATCGCGACTTGGGAGATTAAGATAATCGTGGATGTTGATGTTAAGATGTTAAGAGAGTAGTATCTGATAGTAGTATCGCGCTGGAAAGATTATACATATCGACTGAAATCGCTGGAGAAAAGAGGATCAAGCGTTTTCAGGCGAATCGATCAATATGTGCCTAAACTTGGCAATGCGCTATTCTAATCTACTATCCAATCTCCTACTCTACTGAAATCCTCCTGTCGTATTATCGTAACCAACCATTCTCGACGATTTCAGTCGACACTTGTGCAATCTTGTCAGCGCACTACCTACTCTCCTCCTATCCTAATCTATTGTATTGCTAATTCGCCCTGCCAGTACGCTGTCCGTCTTTTCGTGTCGCGTGCTACAGCTGACCTCGCGGGGCAGTTGAAACTGTTCAATGGCGTTCCTTACAGGCAATCCATTTGATGTAATACTCCACAAAATACGACTTATTGAGACAAGGTATCAAACAGCAGCTGCTACGCAGGGGTTAGAAGATTTGCACAAACTCCGTAGTGAAGAACCATTAATCAACCGTTTGATCATTTGCCTACTACGAATTTTACAGTATTCCTACACGACGTCGGTCTTTGTCTTCGCTGACTGTACCGACAACGGACTCCTGATCGCGCGACTATTCGTTGAAGCTGACCGTAGTCGCGTCAAGAGATGAGTCTTCACTTGATGACAATTGAATGAATCTGACGACGCACTAAAACAGAAGTAATTCATCATAGATGAGTAGAAAAACCCCTGTTACACGTGAGAAAAGAATCTTGTAATGAGATGAAATGAAGAAAATCATCAGTCAGTAGGCTAGAATTCACAGCTCTGATTTTAGTAATTCACCTTTTCGAGATTTTCTTGTGAATTTTCCGTGGATTATTAATAAAAATACCTTACCATCTGCTTTCTTCCTTTCTTTCTTTCTATCGGGTAGTCCTTTATCATTAGTCGTACTTTGAATGCTTTCTTGGTTCTTGGCCCGAGACCTGTGTCTTGTGGACCGTTCCCGGGATCGTTCCCGACGTCCTCGAATTGGGTTTGGAGAACGGCGTGATCGCATGCGGGTGTGTTCATAGCGAATAACTAAACTGGCATTAGTGAGGAACGAGAGTGGGGACTACATCGAATAAACTAATTCACTGACTAATATGACAGCATTCAATTATCCTTTTGAAGAATACTTCACACCACATTTCTTTTATATCTCCCGTCCGTTGTAATTTGGAAGCGTAATATCTCGTGAAAATGAGCGCGGTCAAACAAATATAAAAATCCACATGTACTTGATTCCGACAGAGTAACAACAACAGGGGTAACTTCCTGAAACTGGCATTTGCCTAGAAGTGAAAGAAACGCGTTCTAATAAGACCACACAAAAGCTACTATGGACTAGCTACATTTCCCTGAACCGAGACAATACCCACGTGATAAAATTTAAGCAGATTCTACCCTTTTTACTTTTTTGGTATTTTCTCCAGCTGTTAACAAGATCTTTAAGACACTACAAACCATAGTGGAAGGGAGAAAAGTACAACTCGACCCACACAACTAATTGTATGAGCAAAAATCTACCTTGATGCGAATGATACGATATGCTAGACAATGACGTAAACGCCCTCACGATTGTCTCCAAAGGAGAAACCCAATTGTTTCCGCAGCCAAGCAGCACCACGCGTCGCCCCGGTTACAGAAGACAAAGGACATTGTGAATAAATATGACTGGTAACCGAACGACGCCACGCTTCTCAACGTTCTGTCCGGCTAGGTTTTTCCGCAAAGAAAAGGTAACTATGGTGATCAGTTTCTTTGTAAGACTGATATTTGAAGAATGGTGAACCAGGTAATGAAAAGCAACATATTCAGCGAACAGTTTTGCCGCTAATTAGTACATTTGCTCAGCGCACAAAAAATCAAGACCACTTTACCATTGAGGAACAGCTTTGAGATCAGCAATTCTGAATTGTCACAAGAGTAAAAATACTTTACCTCGGCATATCACTTGGAGGGTCGGGTGGAGGTGCTAAAAGTGCCGTCAAAGAGTCCTCGTCCTGTACAGATGATCCGCCAACCGAGATGCAACCGCTACCAATGGTAGGAGTAGTGGGCAACGATACAGGATTCTTGACCGGGATACCGCCGTGTTTTCGATCAATGAAATGGTCGTGGAGCCGGTCGGAGCAGAAATCCGCTGGTACGCGAGCTTCGCCACTTTCCACTTTGAAAACGCTGAAAACGAAAAATTAAAAGCCTCTTAAATATCACCACTTAGAATGATGGAGACTGTAGAATAGGAAAATGCAATCAACAAGGAGTTTCGACTTGTATCTTGTATAAATGTTTACACCACTGTCAATGAATTCTCCCTCGAATTAGTGAAACAAGGTGCATAACGAAAAGCTACGTCGGCAGCAGAAAATGTAGAAAAAAAAACGCAGGAAACAAAACATGAAGACAGCACGCTATCTGTTGTCACATCTAGGAACGTTATTGCGCACCTACATAGAGGAAAAGGAAACAGCAAGAAAAAACTGCTGTTTTTTTTCTCCTTGGAAACAATTTATCGTCACGATTTCGTCCCTATTTCAATGCGACAGTGATCAGCGAAGGAATGCCGAGGAATGCTCATAAACTGTCCGAGTGCACAGCAATTATTATGCAACAAAATGTCATAGACAAAAAAAATCAAAACGATTGCAAACGCTGCACACAGTGTGGTCACAACACCTTAACAGCAGAAATTGGCAACATCTGAACAGTTTTTCGCAGTAAGCCGAAGATATCACCTAGAAAAATTCGGCGACAAAGATGAATGAAGATAGACTTGTGCGAGCTTCTCCCAATTCATTTTCTTTCTTCGCCTGTATAACTTCGTCCAGACGCTAGGCTCACGTCTCAAGATTTCGAGGAATCTTTCTACTTGAAAATCCACGATTCGCACTATCCTTGATGAATGAGCAAGCTTTCTACTTCAGCACCTTATTCGGGTTGGCAAAGTAGTCCCTTTCACGAAAACAGCACAAAAGTTCCAGCTACCTAACAGAAAGGCGCGTTTGAGTAGACAAAACAACGACACAAGAAGAATAAACTATTAGGACAGGCAAAAACAGTACGAGTATATGTTCCAGAACTAAAACACTTATTAATCAACGTGTAATGGGGCGGTCCCGGATTGGACGCATGCCAAAGGGGTGCCATGGGCGAGAGGAAAATGCACGCGCCACCCATATCGACCCGCCTATAGCAATGCCTCAGGCAACGAAACTCATTCCCCGGCGCTGCCCGTTTCGTAACGACGTTTCTTGCTTCCTTTGCGGTACACTTGCCCACCTTACTCCTATAAATGCTTCCGCGTCCACAACTTGACAACGTATGCGATTTTGTTATTTCTTGTGAAATGTTATGATTCGAGTTTCAGGAACAACTGAGCTTTTGAAATCATGTGGTTCACCCAGTAAAAAACTCATTCATCTTAACAACTAACTAAAACACGACATAGTTTGAGCATTGCAGCATTCGTCCGCGAGACTAATAATCGTCATAGACCCACAACTCCTATACGAGACATGCTTGTTTATTGCACCAGACAGAAAGGATCAATAGAGCTGAGTATGTCGAGAATTGCGCACTTGCAATTCTGCAAGCATTGTGAAAACGCGAACTTTATAAGGGATAAAAACAGTGATAATTTCTTGTTGAAGTGTATGAACAGCAAGATACTATTACAGATCATTAGCAAAACTGTTCGGCAACACCAAGCTTAATGCGGTTTAGAGCTGCTTTGGCCCCTTCCGTGGAGGAAAACACTACGATAGCATTGTCGAACCCTCTATATCACCGACAACGTCACACTACTCCTGAACCGAGAAGTTTAATTTAAAACATCCGATAAACTAAACACAAATTCTACCTTGGATAAAGAGCCGAAGGCATTCTGAATTCACATATCTTCGCCAATCTGAGGGTGGAATAGAACCAATCCACAAACTTAATTTGTCGTCATGGACCTCCAAGTTCGGTTGAAATTTCTAAACAAAAATCAAACGAGAAATTTGGGTGCTGCAGAAGCGTATGAGAAAAAATGGCATGTGTTTTTCACAAAGTATAGTTTTTATTAGACATTTCCCTTTCCCTTTTTGTTCGCTGGCTGTACAGTAAGTAGCGTGGTATTATGGCGCGTCCACAGCCGATCTATAATCAGCGAAACTGGATGAAGGCAAATGCGGTGACGGCGACTTCGTATTCTTTACGTCTACGTCCAAAATCGTGCCATAATTCCCGAATCGACGACGTAAAGCTCCGTCTGAATTCGACTTTCCAACCACCGACGATACAACGTGTGCGCGATCGCCTAAACACTCAGCACTATTGGTATAGGATTTATTCTAAAAAAATTTGAAATAACAACTAGCCCATAACCAGGCAAGTCATACCTTAGGATGCGACAACATCACTCATTTCTATCTTCCGTTGGGTGCGAATACTTCCGCAGTGAAATCCGCATCTGCCCAACGTGCAATGCAAATCCACTAACAGCGCTAATTCATGCCTTCGGTAGTCGTATATGCCTCCTAAATGATTCAAATTCCATCCTCATAAGCACCACATAATAAAAATATAGGGAAAAGAAGGGATGAGAAGATTTCTCGTCAAAGAAATTCTGCGCTTTCTAAAAGCGACTAACGACCAACATGCTAAGCAATCTAAGCGCTGTAGATAAGCATCATCAAAGCATCATGTTCTCCTTTCCTATTCCTGACTGGCTGAATACATTGCCTTAAGTTTCTACTTCTTCTACTACAAAATTGATTAAATCGTTTCTGTTTCGCTCTGCCAGCGCCCACCATCCTTTACTTTCTCTGAACTTAGTCGCTATTTCCTTTCACTCATGTCTCTCTCATTTTTTCCATAAAAGAATCTCTCTCGCTGGGCCTTGTCTCACACTTTTAACGAAATTTTTTATGTTGCCATATCATCAATACGAAGGTTCTCAAACGTTTCTGGTCAGTTTTTCTTCATTTATTCCCGCTAAACCTCATCTGTTTTCTATCTCATCACAGGTTCTTTACTTTCAACAGTGCCAACATAAAGAGTTGCTATAATACAATTAACGAACACAATCTGGTGGCTTTCGAAAATAATTTCAGATACTGTCATTGATACATAACGTCAGCCGCACTTGCGTCAGGCAGGTGTTGGGAACTGATTTAATTAGTGCGAGCGACTGCACTTTTTAAATATGACTGAGAAACTAGAGTTGCATGTAAAGTAAAAGGAACTATTAAAAGAAACCAAAAGTATAGAAGCAAGGGAAAGCGACTGAGCATGTCGACAAGAGAACGACCAAAAGAGAACGCCGAGAGTGGAGAAGCAAAACTCTTAACGCAAACTGTAGCGATGATGTGCACGCTTCCTCTTTTGAACGCCCACTTGTTTTCCAAAATGTGAACACGTACTTATATTCCAGAGGAACCAGAATAAGCAAATGAAATGCTTTTCGCAAACAGAATCAAAACTGACCTGAACAACAACGTGATTGGCTGCTCGAATGCGAACACGCATAGATAAGATGGAAATGTGGGAGTCGTTCACTAGTTTCTCCATGTCAATGACACTGCAAATACTTAGGTTGAAGTTCATTAGTAAATACATCAGAAGAAGAAAAAATACCGTTGAAAAATAACAAGGGCCTTTCTTGCGTCTCCATCTCCTTCAATCGAGATATCCACGATGCGACCATGCTTTTTCAACGCATCTCTTATGGCCTCTTTCACAGTTCCGTCACTTCTTGGAGGGAGACGTTCAACATAAACCCCCTAAAAATATTGGATTAGGACTGTACACAACAGTAATATTTTTCACGCACTTGCAAACCACCAGAAGAATGTGCTGATGCGCACACGGAAACAGAACCAACAGAAGACCCAGATATGCCGCCACACAGGTTCACAGCATCAGGTGACCGTCTGAAATCACTAGATACAAATCGGATAGCGATGCATCCCAATGGAACTCATGAAAAAGGTAAGCCGATATCCTGAGATTACACTGATAATCAAGAACAGTGAGGAGTTCCTTCGAATTTTAAGGCAAGTCTACAGTTGAACGCACGCTCTGAAGAACGTGTGAAATTAAGGGCTGTTCGATGGCTTTCCAGAAGGCGATGGCACTGAGGAATGCAGAATCACGCGAGCCATTTTCCATAGGCGTGCTAAGAAAGTTGGCAGAGCAATTCAAAAAAGGTGGAGAAGAGTTCACTTCATCAGAAAGAGATTGAAAAAAAACAACGTCGGCCTAGAGACATCAGCATCCAAAACAAACAAGGCTAATGTTAAATCCTAAACCTTTATCAAAGCTGAGCCGACGTACATCGGCCCTACCGATCTTGACCTCTAACAACAATAACAATAACAACGTAAGAAGAGATCAAGATAGACAAGTTGAACAGTTGAAGATCGCCTCTAAGAAACATTTTTGAAAATTCATCGCAAAATAAATTCTCAATAATTGTTCAGTTGTTGACGTAAATCGCTGAATTCGCAAATTCTGAACATATGAGTGAAGAGAGCAGTTATTGTAAGACACGAGAACCGTACGAGGAAGCTCTACTGTATGGAAATTATGGAATCAGCCCACATGAAAAAAAACAGTAAAAAAGAAAATAAATTGCAAGCTGGTACGTGTGAGGATGATGGAAGCAGACTCCGCGCTTGCATGTTTTTCTCTTTGTTTGAATAGTTCTTCATAATACCACTAGATAGCGTCTTATTCAGAAAGCAAAAAGAACTCATTGCTACAGGGAATTACAGTAATTTGAAGGGCACATAGCAATTGTCAACCTTAGCAAAAGACATCGCTAGGTAGCGCAACATTCTGCACATTCTATATTCAGCAACATTTTTTTTCGCTTGGGGTTTTAAATAACGGCGAATCGTTATTGACCTTGTTGAGTAACAATTTCAGATCACTTCAGATCATTTTGAAGTAGATACTTTTCACTTGGGCAGAATAAG